TTCTGCAACTGCCCTTAATTTTCAGCCACACAACCTCGGGTGGTTATTGCAGTGAACCCTAAGTCTCTAGCCACGTGAGTGACATACCAGCTATGTCCATAGCTTGTCTCCACAAACAACATACTTCTGTCAATTCAAAGACTTATAATATTAGAAGGTAGTTGAATTTTAAAAAACATATATTTGCTATTAATGTAAAATGTACTTACAATGTATGAATACAACATACCAGTTAAAAATCACCTGAATCACACGAAGTATTCAGCCTTGTACTATCTGCATACTGTGTGTGTTTTCCTTTCTCTCATCGGCGGTGTTCTATCTGAAATTAAATGAAATGAAAAACGGAGACATACCAATGGGTACTATCATCGTCTCCTTATTCTTGCTTTCAGTCTGTCACGAGTGTTGTGGAACCACTGTTGAATGGACGCAATGACGGCATCCACTGTGGTCTAACTGTCAATCAACACTGCCTTTCCGGTAAAAACTTTATGTTGTAAGGTTACACATCTTTGTGTCCTTGAGTGACTTCTTCTTTGTAGCCGCCCATGAAAATTGAGTGCTGTACGTTGGCTGCAGCAAAACATTCATGATGCCATTGACTGAACTATGCATACTCGAGTCAACCAAAGTTCCTAGGTCAGCGGATATAACTCGATGGTATTCTGCGTCGGATAGTTTCGTCTCAAAGGGCGATATGATGGCGTCGATATCCAATTGCTATCTGCCTGAAGACTTCAAAACATCAACTAAATTCATTTTAGAGATATCTTTGTCAATGCTCTCGGCCGCTTTAAGCCGTTAGAGCTTAACCTCGATATCAGCAAAGCATGACTCAAAGGACTCTTGTCGTGACCGCATTGCCTTGGATCCTACCGAGCGACCAGATATGCAGCCATCTGTCCCCTCAGCCCTTGCATACTTACAAGTAACTGTTGAAATCAAATTTAACTCACATGTTAGCTGGTGACGGAATGGAGATATTCGGTGTGGAGATGGATGGAAACAAGCTGAAATAAAATTCCGTTAGTGAACTTTAATATACCTTCCATTTGTGCCTGTCAGAAACTTGGTGCATCGAACTGAAAGTTTCTGTCAGCCAACAACCGAATTGGGTAATTTAAAGGTGCCACGTCAACTGAAACCTTTCGTGTCAGCTTCGTAACACTGGACTAGGCAAGAATTACAGTTTACCGGTTCACCCTGCATTGGCTTGCAGGCTGTCCTCAAATGACGACAGCCTAGGTGATGAGTTCAGTAGTTTAGATGCCGTTTGAACTCTAACGGCTTCTTCCAAATTATCTGAAAGGGAACACTACTGTAAAGTGTTAAGTAACTGTAGCGTCTCAACAAAAGGAACTCATAAGTCATGGAACCCGATACAGCCTCTGCGTGTCCCATGACTTCTGTGAAGGAAAACGACCGTGGGATGATCACAGATATATCAATCACCTACACTTGAGAAACTATCATAATTTTATCCAAGGTGGGGACCTTGATTACAACGAACTGTTTAGTCATCTGCAAAGAAGAATGTACCACCATTAGATCCAAAAATAAGGATATGACGAAGGGAAGTCTTGAATGACATGTATTTATACAAATGTGTGTGTGTGTTGATATTAGGATTAATGAAACTGGAAACAAAATGAAACACCATTTGATTGTATTCTTGGTACCACTTCACTATGGCTGCATATAAAGTCACTAGAAGGAATAAAGTTACGATAAGTTGAAGGCATGTAATATGGGAATAATAACGGAATGAAGCACAAGACTTAAGTTTACCTACTTTTCTTTAATTTCCCTGAAACTATGATTACATGTTTCGCCCTCAAAGTTGTCTACCTGAAAGATTCCATTATCCCTTGAATCCAATGGCTGTTTAAAAACACCCCTGAGATTCTTATAAGCACAAAATCTGAACTGATTTTCTTTTAAGATTTCACAAACAACTGATATATTTCCCACTATAACGCAATTGTCTGGGGTGGGGAATTGACCTTATTCAAAGGCCGGAAAAAATTGTAGTTTGCTTAGTCATGCCTACAGATGCACTAGTAATAAGCCCAATTTTTGATGAGTCATTTTGTACTAAGCCTTCTTTCTCCTAGACGTTTACTTATTTGGACTGGAGGGTTATTGGGACCTATGACTAGACGTATGTGAAGAAAACGTCTGTTTGACTCAAACGAGAAGCAAGGGGAACTGTCTAGTGGTCCGTGGTTTCTTACCTCCTCATATAAGTGGAGCAAGCCATGAACGTTGTATATCATGTTATCATCCCCAAATATAGACCTAAAGCAGCTCCCCACAAATTTAATGGACAAATTTTTGTATCATCTAGGTAACACGAAGAATGAGTTGGATGACTTAAAATGTAACAAGCTAGAAATATATCGAAAAAATTCTCATAAAAGCAAGGAGGTAAGATGTTTCTGAAGTACACGACTGTTAAATATAAAAGAAATTGTCTGCGCTCAGTTGCTTTCCAACCGTCGACCTTGTTTAAGTTGAGACACTTGCGTTAGAATTCACAGGGGGTCAACGTACGTGAGCTAACTGTGTTCGCCTTCGGTAACTGGCGTCTGTTCTCAGAGTGGAACATGAAGTTGGAAAAACCATGGGATTATTTACACGACAGCATATAGCCTTGCATTTATCACATCCTTGGGTTAAATTGTGACCGGTTATTTGCTTAACTAGTACCCTGACTGGTGGTGTATCACAGATAACTCCTCCCTTGATTACTATGTTTGTGCGATGGCTATTGGGTAATATAAAACCGCTCACATATAAATTCTTATTCGACAATGTTATCCCTTAAAAAGAAACTGCTAGTACTTACAAGTTTACATGGACCACAGTGGACGCCTACCAAAAACATCTTGTCATATCCAGACAGCAGCAGCTTCCCTTGAATAGAGCACATCTGTAAGTTAGAATTGTTGAAAAGTTGAGCACCCGCTCTGGTACTGAGGCTTTCGCTTTGATTGTCTTCATCATCATCATCTCCGTCTCCACCTTCTCTATGTTCCCCTGGATGGAGTCCTGACTTCGGTCGGTCGGTTTTCGACATAGAACTTTGCACATATGTGCGGCAGTTCAAGTCGCCTGACTTCGCTGGCAGGCAGCCAGCCAGCCTCTTCATCCAGTTTATTGCCAGTTTTCATCTGCCTCTAAGACTTCGAGTTTGTGTGACATTCAACAGCATAAATCATCCACATGCGAAATCCAGATGTTCTAGAGTCTTCTCATCGGTCATTGCAGCGTATTCTTGTCTTCTCACTCACTGACTCTCAGCCCACAGTCTGACGCATAATCCAGTCCACCACAATTAAGAATATCAACGTTGGTGATAATAGGCAGGCTTCACTGAGTTTTCTATTGCTGATCACCTGATACGTGACACAGCCAGTTGTTGAATGCGGTTGATAAATAGATGAATAAATATCCACTGGCTGAATGTTCAGAACCTTGTCTGCATATCACAGTCTTTTGGCGTCGGTACCATAGCGGTTAGGACGCTCGCCGACCATGGACATAGTCCGGAGTTCGATCCCCGGCCACCGACGCACTCCTTTACCTCGCTAAGCCAGAAATAATGCTGGTGAAGAGGAAAGGTTGGGCATGAGGTGGCTAGCAACCCTATCATGTAAAATAAACACCACTGCTACAGAAACTTCAAGCCACTAGCTTGAAGCCCTATGTTCCACTGGGGTCTGTGAAGGATAAAAAAAAGATTGTTGTATTCTCTCTCATTGCATACACCACTATAGTGAACTGTGAAATTTCTTTGCTTCTCCAAGTTTTATAAGTAAACTAATTCCTATTACTCCTGTACATTTTATAGGCAATAAGCAAACACAACTTGACTTCATAAGCGAAATGTATTCGTTAGTTTGTCGACCAGTCAATATTATGACAAGGAGAACAATCATCAGTACGAATTATAGACTAATGTCCAGTTAGTAAAACCTTTTTAAAAAAATAAATAATAAAATAAATAAAACTAGATGTTTACTACACCAAGAAACATGAATGGATCAAGATTGATGGTAATCTTGGCGTTGTTGGCATTACCAAATATGCTGAACAGAAATTAGGTGATATAGTATACGTTGAGCTACCTGTAGTTGGAGATAAAATCAATGCCAATGGTAAGACTTTTAATATATTGAAGAGAGATAAATTTAGATCAGTGTGCAGTCGTTGAATCAGTTAAAGCTGTTGGTGAAGTCTACTCTCCTGCATCAGGTACTGTTGTCGAAGTGAATACAACTGTTGAAAAGAACACTAAGATTATCAATAAATCCCCGATGGATGATGGTAAGTTATAAACACACCTTACCTTACCTTACCTTTAGTATATATGTTGTTTACATACATAAGGTCCTGTGGTGTATTACTTTACCACCGAAAAAATTTGCCCCTATAAGGTTAACCGTCGAAATGCTGATTTAATTCTTTTTTTTTCTGGTTCATATATAACATGATTTTTGTTTGTTTCTTTTAAATGTTATTCATCTGAGGTAATGATAATGAAAAGCAGTGTGCTACAGGACTAGACTGAACTGAACTACATTGACTCGCTCCTAGCGTAAACACAGACGAGTGAACTGGCGTCTGACTGGCTGGCGGAGCGTGTTCACCACTCCACTTATTTACGAAGTTTCATCAGCCCAGCCACTGCCAGTGGGTTGATCGGATGGCTGATGAAATCTCAGCCGGATGCAGATGCAGAAGGCTGGTTCGGCATTTTTCTACCAACTGACGTCATCTCTGGTGTGACGTGCTTGGTAGACATGATATCCGGCTGGCTGTCGACCAAAGGCTGTGTGTACTGCTCACCAGTTCGCTTCGTCAGCTAGGTCAGCTAGCTAGCTATGCTTTATTACAGGTGTCTCGGTTTTCGACATAGGACTTCGCACATATGTGCGACAGTTCAAGTCGCCACACTCCCTCCTTGTAGCACACAAAGCAAGAGAAGAAATGCATAGGAGAAATGCATAGTAGACACAGTAAACAGAGGCGTGAGACAAAGGAATAGTAATAACGAAGAACAAAACAGTTTCATTGGAAATCATGAGTCACAAGGAGTGGATGCGTCTGCACTATGCACTGAGAACGATTTTGAGCCATGTCACCAATTGTTTCCAACCATTGGTTTTTACCGTCCCGAGGACCCCAACCAGTCAGGAAGTCTACACCTTCCTACGTGGCTGGCTTAGACTAACTGTTGTATATTCCATTGACTGGTGCCATGTTTTGGTTTGACCGCCGCTAGCTCTTTTCCAGCCTGACCCTATATCAGCTAACATTGCCCATTGTCGAGGAAGGCGATAACTAGTCATGCCTACGTAACACATGTCCTAACCATCTCAGTCAATGTAATTTCACAGTCTCGTCTATTGATTTCCCCTCCTTACCTAACACTCGACGTCTAACCTCAATATTGCTCACCTTATCATACCACTTCACACGGGAGATAGAACGCAGACACCTATGATCAAAGGCAACTAATCTTTTCATGTCTTCCGCTCTCAATGGCCAGGTCTCACAGCCATTGCAGGTGTCTGCGTTCTATCTACCTTCCGTGTTAGGTGGTATAATAGGTTAGTGAGCAATATTGAGGTGAGGCATCTGTCGAGTGCTGGGTAAGGGGGAAGGAGGAGGGAAATCAGTCGACGAGGTTGTAAAGTGACACCGATTGAGATGGTTAGGAAATGTAGGTCTAGCCATCACCTTCCTCGACAATGGGCGATTTTAGCCACACTGGCATATAGGATAGATGAGGTTGAAAAAGAGTTAGCTGGGGAGCGGCGGTAGTGGTGTTGCTGGTCAAATCAAAACATGGCTTCATCAGTGAATGAAGTCCTCAGCACTTAGTTTAAGCCACGTAACGAGGTGTAGACTTCCTAGTTGAGATCCTCGGGATGGTAAAAACCAGTGTGAAGGCCCATAATTTTCACTTACGCTTCTTGACACTAACACCTGTTGTGTTGCTTCGCAGCAATACTATTAATTCATATGAACTGTGATCAAGATTTGACCGGATAGTTCGGACCGGATTGCCGAACGAAACGTTGGAATTAATCATTTCAATTTCGCTGAGATTTTACAAATATAATTTTAGAACAACACATTTAAGCGAACAACATTGTTTTCAATTCAACCTAAATTATGTATTGAAAAGAAGTTCGTACAGCCTTTATCCCTCCCTTGGCCTATTAAGACGTAACCAACTAATGACCTCTACACCACCCTTTGTTTACATGTTCATCCCCTTTCTTATCATCCCTTAATCTTATCTTCATTATAAACGTGTTTCATTTCATTCCCTTACAATCACTCTCCCGACCGAAAGCTGCTACCTTGACGTGGTGGTCGGGCTTGAACACCGCAATGACCCAACAAGCTATACTGGCTGGAACTTATGTTCCTGCAGGTCCTACCATGCCAGGAAGGTTGTTCGGATAGCGGTTAGACTAAAAGCAGTTACCCAATCCAATCCTATGACTTCAAACAAATCACAAAATATCATGCCGGATCGGTCGGGGCCCGGATTAACAACGACCGCGCTTTCTGCTGCCGTGTCACAGGGCAGAAGTGATAAATACGCTACTGAGACACACCAAATAAAAAAGAACAAACAAAAACAGGCCGTGTGTGACCGGCCTCAAGCAGTTGTCCCCTGGGCTCTGCGGTCACGCAACCAACTTCCACGGTGTGGGCAGCCGGGAAGTAACAATCGCCCTCACAACCCGAAGAGCACGCGAAACCTCTCTATTCCTCACTCACCTTTGTCTTCATCTTCATCTCTATTATCTTACCTTCCTTCTACTAATGCAACTCCTCTACTTAATGGCTCTTCACTTCCTCTTCACTCTGTGTGCACCGAAAACGACGGAAGCCAAAAAGCCACCATCGATAGTCTCCTAAAGCCACGTCACCAATTTCATATAGGGGCATTTAATGTTAGGACACTTTGCCAAATAGGACAACAGGCATCACTAGCCAAGACTCTGGCATCCCGAGTCATTGATGTATGTTGTGTTTCAGAAACACGCATACAGGACCCAAGTGTGGTTATTCACCTAACCCCACCTGGCCAACAGGATGAATCTGCAAAATTCACCTTGAGGGTGTCAGGAGATGAGACGGCTAGCTCACGAGGATTAGCTGGTGTTGGGATAGCGTTGAGTACTAGGGCTGAAAAGACATTACTTGACTGGATCCCGGTAGATAGCCGAATGTGTGCTGTCCGTCTGAACGGATCAGTGAAAAGGAGAAAGGACTGCACTACTCGCCGATGCCTTTTCGTAATCTCCGCCTACGCCCCCACTGACTGCAGTTCGGATGAAACGAAGGATGAGTTCTACCAAAAGCTGTCTAGTTTGTTGCGAAAGGCTAAACGCTCAGATATAGTCGTTTTAGCTGGTGACTTTAACGCTCAAGTGGGGAAATTGTGTCAATCTGAGAAGAATATCGGTGGCACATACGGAATTCCGTGCCAGCGAACCGACAACGGTGACCGTCTCCTACAGTTCTGTTCAGATAATCACTTGTTTCTTGTAAGCACTAACTTCAAACACAAGGAGAGACACTGTTTGACCTGGCGACCTCCATCATCAAACCAACGCTGGACACAAATAGACCACATAGCAATAAGCTATCGTTGGCGTGGGTCGGTAGGGGATTGTCGCTCCTTCTGGAACACGTGTGTAGATACCGATCAGGCACTGGTCCGCGCTCGCGTGTGCTTACGACTGAACGGACGTAGGAAACAGCTGGCGGTAAATCCATCACGTCCCCAGCTCGATCAGGAAACTAAGTCCCTATTTGAGGAAGAACTAGCTAAACACATATCTGAGTTTGACAGCTGCGCTCATCCTGAAGAAGCCTGGAAAAATATTCAATCAGCTATAGATACAGCTGTAAAAGCTGTGAATAAGGTAAACCCAAAGGTGAGTAAAAACCATTGGATTTCGACTGCCTCATCCGAACTGATAGATGCTAGAAGACTTATTCCGGCGAGCTGCGAATTCAATGAGGAGCGAAAGCTGCACAAAAGGAAACTTACGAAAAGTCTCCGCAAGGACCGTGAACAGTGGTGGTTGGCAAAGGCGAAAGAGATGGAAAAAGCATCGGCGATAGGCAACACTAGGCAACTCTTTAGACTCATCAGGGAAACGGGTGGGAGAAGGCAAATCATAAGTGAGACTATTTGTGAGAAAAATGGCTCCTTAATTAGCTCTCAAGATAGACGCCTCGAACGCTGGAAAGAACACTTCGAGGAACAGTTTAACTTGCCTACAGCCACACTGAGCCTCCCCACCATCCAGCACACACCCGAATGGGACATAGACACTGGCCCGCCGTCTGTAAGTGAGGTCACCAAAGCAATCTGTAATTTGAAACGAGGCAAAGTGGCAGGACCCGACGGAATTATTCCGGAGGTGTTTAAATATGGGGGTGACATGCTAGTATATAGTTTAACTAAGGTACTACGCAACGTCTGGGAATCGGAGACGGTCCCATCAGACTGGGGTAAGTCACTTATTATACCAATATTCAAGAAGGGAGACAAGTCGTCATGTGATAATCATAGGGGGATCAGCTTAACGAACATAGTCTCTAAAATCCTAGGCTCGGTAATTATGAACAGGCTAAGCCGAACTCGGGAGGAACAAACGAGGGAAAACCAAGCAGGCTTTAGGCCAGGTAGAGGGTGCATGGATCACATCTTCACTCTCCGACAGATCCTAGAACATAGACACACTTTTAGGCGTCCAACAATTGCCATATTTCTTGACTTGAAAGCGGCCTTCGACTCCGTGGATCGAGAGGTTCTATGGCAATGTTTGACTATGAAGGGAGTGCCAAGAAAGTACATTGCACTAATCAAGGCACTCTACTCAAACTCACGTAGCTGTGTAAGGGCTTATGGGGAATTGTCATCTGAATTGATAACATCCAGTGGTGTCCGTCAGGGATGTCCACTTTCCCCTTTTCTGTTTAACTTCATCATAGATATGCTAATGGGAGTATCCTTAACCGAACGTAACGACTTAGGAATCGACTTGTTACCAGGGAATAGTCTTATAGACTTAGAATACGCAGACGACATAGTCCTGTTAGGGGAGGACGCTGACAAAATACAGCAGAGTCTTCTGAACACCTTGAGCAGCAATCTTCGTATGTTTGGCATGCGATTTGCCCCTGTGAAATGTAAGATGCTGCTACAGGACTGACTGGACTACGTCAACTCCAAGCTTAGTGATAGGGAGTGAAGTGATAGAACATGTTGACCACTTCACCTATTTAGG